ACTTCCCACTCTTTGAACCCTGTTATAGTTTCATTCTACCTACATTGTTCAGGTTCAGGTCGATGTCGTGGTTTGGCTTCCATTCTAGCTCCTCTTCCTCCTGTTCAACTTCATCCTCTCTGAAGATGACGACACATGGGACGATGAACGGACACAACATGCATAGCCACAGCTGGGAAAGAGCAAAAGAAAGAAATGGCAAACCCATCATCAAGTCAACCAATTACTGAAGTGACTATTCCATCCCAGCACAAAAGTTGATTCCACCGAACTTGATTTGTCCCTTACCAGCCAGCCGTTGTTCTCGTCCGACAGCTTCCCATTCCAGATCTCTGTCAGCAGGTTTTGGACTCCAGAGTGCGCAATGAAGTTCTTGTTCTGGGCGTGTTTGGCCAGGCTCAGGCTGGTGGCCTTGCCCCAGTTTTCCTGTTCCCGAGCCAGGAGGAGGGAGGTGCGCTCGGGATCATCATTGTAGCATTCATTTAGAACACCGATGGCCAGTTCCTCGTACTCCCTGTGGATTGGGAATGGCAAAATTATCTATGGTATTAGGGTTGCATGAAACAGCCAAGCAAAGATTTCAGATGTTATGACAGTTTTCAGCAGCAAATATGTATGGTCAAGAGACCATTTGAGAATGCAGCGGCCCTAAATATGATTTTGGTTTCAAAATCAATACTTTACAAAATGACAGTTTTTAGGAGTTGGAAGAACAAAAACACTGGTTGTACCACTTCAGAGCACTGTTTTCGGATGTCATAAGGTATACGGCCCCAGAAACAAATATTATGATCAATCGTCAACTCTTTCCACTTAAACAGCCCTATCCCAGGGACTAAAAGCTGTGATCGTCCTTGTGTAAAATGTTCAATACAATTAAACAACTGTACAGCTAAGGGCAAGTCCAATCAAGGACCACAGTTAACCATAGTTCGACTAACTCTGATTGAACGCACGCTAGTCGACGATGGTTGGACTAGTCTGTGGCGTAAGACATACATGTACAAACGGTGCAAAAACATGCCAAGAGATGTGAAATCAGCTGCTAGAGATGTACTTGAGCAACAATCCTAGACTCCCTCCCCCACGGTATACTTACTCGGCATGTTTGAGCATGGCTGCGCTCTGGTCCGAGTCACCCTCTCTGTCGGCCATCAGCTTGAGGATCATGCTGGCTGTGAGTGCCGAAGCAACTGCATCGTTGCCATCCTCCCAAAGCATCCGGGCCATCTCGGGCCGGTTCTGCATGATGGCCAGGAGGAACAGCTCACGCACGGGAGACAAGAAGTGGTCGGTCAGGTCCTGCAAGGCATCTGAAGGACGGAAAAAAAGAGATTGGGGAAGACAGACTTAATGGATAACGGCAAGTTTATCTGTTGATTCAAAGTTGGAAGATCTCCAAACGGTAGAATAAACCCCATTCATGCAGAACTTTCAGCTGCGAACTTGTGACGTCATTTTGCTGGTCTAGCCACTTTCAAATTTCAAATTTTCAAATATGTTTTTTCTGCCTTGTATTGATAAAAAGAAACCATTTCAATTTTCACTTTTTGCTGTGAATTTGTAAAGACAATCTGCAAGTCGGGGTCATTCTTGAAAATTCTTTTTTCTCCTCGGTTTTAAGTGACTTTAGAGGTAAAATAAAAATCTCGAGTTCCACAGGTGTTGGCATTGGGGTGTTGCCCGGAGCAACAGCCAAATACATGTAGTCTATTCCATTAGACAAGAACTTCCTAAGTTTTAAGAGTGATAGAGTTTCTTTGGCTGTGACCTTACGTGTTTCCATACCTCTTCGTCCCTGGACCGCTATCTCCCTCAGCCCTTCTCTGGCGTGGGTCTGAACAACTTCGTACCCCCTACCGACACCCGTCTCTGAGGCGTCGTCTGCTAGGATGTCCTCCCCAAGTATCTGCGCTTCCGTCAACACATACTTGGCCTGGTGGCGGATGTAGAGCGGCTCGTACGTGTCCATCGTCAGCTCCTCGAGGACCTTGCCCACATCGAACAAGTTGAACTTACGAGTCAACTGCGAAGCGGAAGGAATTAAGGGTGGCTTTGGGTATAACCGGGCAAAGTTTTAATGGCCAATCACAAGGCAAATAGTTTGATCGCAACAGGATGAACGGTGATTTATCAGGAATTCATGTCAACATGTACGCCAGTATTCATTTAAATTACAGGTCACCTTGGATGACTTGTGATTGACTGATGACACAGCTGTAAAGATATCGCCATGGTGTCACTGGCATTTATGTTTGAATTTTCCTGGTATTTAGCAGTCAGTGTTACATCAACTATTTGAAATGCAAATTATGTGGGGTGGAAAAAATAATCCCAATGGGAGACATCTAGACACTGGTGGCAGCAGATAAACCGGTCCTTTTTCAAGGTATTGCACATGCTCAGATCTATGCAGGCATGCTCAGAACAATGCGCGCATGCTCAGAATTGGTAAAAAAGGACCGGTATGGTTTTCTCCACCAAGCGTCTCAAAGTCTCCCATTGCAGTTTGATGTTTAGGTTTTACCTGGGAAGATGGTTTCAGTTAAATATAGCACAAGAAAAACCAGAATTTATGCATTCCAAGTCACTCTTTCCTACCTTCCCTCGTGCCTTCTCCAGAAGTTCGTACAGCAGTGTGTTTGGCTTCACCTGTGGAGTAAAGCAAATGCAAAGACACAAAGACAACAAAAATTGGAGGGTGTGATTTTCAAGGACTTGGAGGCAAGTAATGATTTGACCCCTTTCAAAACAGGGTTCACCTACTCTTCCAAGCCATCTCTTTGATCCTAACAGTCATCGATCCTCAAAAAAGTGAAGGATTAATGTTGAGAACCGTTCAGTTTAAAACATTAATTTGTATGGCAAGGAATTAAAAAATTCCAAGGGAATCTCATGCTTCAACTTTAGGGACTATTTCAAACCTGGTCAAAGCCTTGATGGCAGGAATTTTAGACTGTGATGATTGATTGTACACAGAATGAAGAGCTCACCTCATTGTAGAGCAGGGTGAGTTCTCTGACTGTCAGGTAATCCTTTAAGCTGACGCCATTCTCCATAAACAGCCTGACAAAGTCCGCCTGATTGTTGACCAAGGCATAGTGAAGAGCATTGTCGAGCTCACCTTTCTGTGGTGTAAAATGTTACCGCATAACACTCAGTGGAAATCGATGATATGTACATATGTGATCAATCGATCTTTACGACTGGTCGATTCTGCATAAAATGTATCATCATGAAACTGCTCTATGGAGAGCCAAAGCGAATACGTCAGATGCGCTCTTATGTGTGTAAAAAGCATTAGCGAGAGTATCCGCGCGTGAACCAATGAGCGCGGATACTCCTTTCGTTTCAATTGTACGGCATGTACTGGTTCTAAATGGCGTCACACTTTGGTACTCTGTAGTGTTTATCAGCTTTTACCTTCCAGTCTCTGTCTTCAGTGAAGATTTCCCGTTGGGCCACGTCAACTCTGTTCCAGATCAAAGCGAGCTGTAACTGGTCCTGCACTTGACCCTTGTTGGCTGATGGTAAAATAACAGATCACCAGGGAAAACTTGACAATTTAGAGAAATATTCTGTGCATTTCAGGATATGGGAGGGGCATAAAAAAGCAGGATGAGATGACAAATATTGCAGCTGCTAAATACACCTGTATTACTGGATATCTTCACAAGCAAAGTTTTCCAAACTGAAACAATCAACATGAAGTAAACCATGTTGTTTGGGTTGAAGAAGATCTGGAAAGAAGGCAAATGTGAAACAATGGCACATCGATGACAGTCCCAAAGTCTATCGTTACTCTGGAACTTAAATTGAGACGAAAATCCTCAGGACTTCTACCTTTCAACAGCGCGTGCAAGATGGCACTGTCAATGTCGTACTTCTGCGTTCCGGTGCCCAATTCATAGACAGTGATGAGGTGTCTTCGCATCAGCATCTCCTTTATGCGCGTCAGATGAGTATCCAGGTCCCTCTCGCCAAATTCCTTGGAGAGCATGTCGGCAATGCGGACTGACAGCGCATCGCTGACCACTGCTCTTTTCCTACAAACAAACAAATCATGGGAACAGATGGCAACTTTGAAACATATCTTTTATCGCTTCAGGCTGGACGGCATGTAACCACGCAGAGATTTTTCATGCCACTTTTCGGGGTTAATTTGTCATCACCTTGAGGGAGTCTTAATATGACGTCTATAATGGTAGAGTGCATCAGGTACCCTGCTCACAATGGTGCAGAGTAAGTTCGGTTAAGAACTACGGCCAACCATTTACAGTAGTTCGACTAACGAAAAAACTGAGTCAAGCCAGTCAATGATATTTGGACCAGCCTTGTCCACTTTCTGGCTACAGCCTGGCGAAGTTGGCTGCATCACTGGTTACCACAGCTATGTGCATCACAATGTGCACCAGTGAACCAGGAGCAATATTTGCCATGATGCTTGATCATAATTTTAACAGACAAGAGACATCAGGATCTTGAAATTAGCTCGCAAACACAAGGTACTCTGTGGCTAACCCACTGGTAAACCCATGGTCTTAGCCAGAACTTGTTCCATGCTGTTGGTACCAGTGAAATGACGAGAACATACATTTCCAGCTTTACTGCAGAAGGCCAGTTGAGTAAAATGAAGTTGATGTGTGGAAATTGTCTACAAAAGCTGATGATTAACATACTGCTGGGCTAATTTATCTAACACAGGGAAACAGCTGAAGAACAAAGATGTAGAAGTGTCTTACTCCTTTTTGATGTTTCCTTTGCTATCTTTGACGAACTTCTCCACCATGGGTGCCCTTTGGAAGGCGAACGCCAGAATGTCAGCGGCTCTTCCTGTTCCAGACACAATGACAGCTGGCGTGCCGTTCATGATGGCCTCGTAGACCGTAGCTATGGTATTGGGACCTCCCTCCACCACCACACACACCACTGGCACCGACACATCTGTATTGTTTCAAACAATAAAATACATTGGGAATCGGCAATGTTCAGGTGTGTGAAAGTGGACACATTGAGCCAACTGTCATCTATCTTTGCAGACCGTGGAGCGAAATCACATCATCATGAGTCAATCATACCATGTGTATTTCTCGAGTCAAGTCACATGCAACTCAGAATATTCTTTTGTCACATCCAGTATTTCAACACTTGCAAGTGAACTTACTCTCTATGAAGGATTGCCCTGCTGAAGCACAGATAAGAAGTCTATGACTGCCTGAAACATGTAGCAGAAGTAGCAAACTACTTCATACTTTCACAATCTTTACTTCCTAACATACAGTATTGATCCTGTGGCGCATTCCCAAATATGATCACACAACAACAAAAAATCTGAAGTTATAAAATGGAGAGACCTCCGAATACTCACCGGCCACTCCTGACATTTTCTGTTCAGAGATTTCCTTCTCCATCTTAGCTCGGAGCTTGATCTCCACGCCATACTGACCCTCTGTGCCATTATCTGCCAGGATGAAGTGGGTGTGGTTGGGGTCCAGGAGGACCCCCTTGGGATTCTTGGTGTCCATGCGGTAGTAAGCCGGAAAACGACCCTGTTGGAAAGAGGATGATGACACTGAGATTCAGTGTTACAGGGATTACATAGGAAAAAATTACACTCCAAAATTATCAATAGAGGCTTTGCGTGGTAGCCATCTTGCAGGGCAGTTCTTTTACTCCACAGAGAAACCTGCTTTCTGCATACCCAGTGGAACAAAAGCTCTGACCTGCAAGATGGTAGCAATGCAAACCTCTATTAAAAGTCATTGTCTTCAGTGTTTCTCAGGCCGTTCAGTGACAAAGGGGAAATAAAAAAACAGTGACTACTGATTATATGTCTTGACATAACCATTATTTTCAACAATTTTGGAATTATTTCATTACATGCTCTCCAGAATTCATAATTAAATGATAAACAGGGACAGGCAAATTTGTTTTAGTTTGAATTTTTTTACTTGTTAAGTCCATATAACAACACAAATCCACACAGATTATTTTGTGCAACAGCATGTATCAGCAATTAACAGTTATGCAGTAATGGTACTTTATAAAGGTTAAAACTTCATCTGAAGCACAGAGCAACACCATGCAACAATTTAATAACTGGAATATGAAATAACGGCAGTTGTAATAACTATTAATAATGGGTGGTGATGAAATTTGGAGTGAAATCCAATTTAAATAAAATCCAGTATCAACATTTTACAACTTTCTCATATTAAAAGCCTGGAATTGCTCTGAATTGGGAAAAACCCAAGAGGTCAGAGTCTAGTCAGGGGTCAATTTCATTGTGATGTACATGTACATGTAGTCCACGGAATCTTCTGAGCGCTACATTATTTGCTGGGCCATTGTACAAACAGCCATCATGCCATGCAATGCATATTTTTTGTAACTGATTCTCAGCTTTTTTTTGCTTCAACACAATAAAGTTACTCAGCACAAGTGTCTATTTTATCGATCTATAAAACTGGGCCTTTAAACCCCGAAAGAGCCCAACTCTCACAGGTGGAGAAGGCAGATTCTGCCCTTTCCTCTGAACTCAGCCATCACATGCTTATTCCTTTCCAATCTGGTATACTCATTAGGACAGTTCTTGTAAGTGAATTTGGGAAATTTCAACTAAATCTAATATAATTGTATTCAAACATGTCAAATGACTCTTATGCATTACTGGAAAATCCATGAAGACTTGGCACAAGAAAAAAGCACTGGCCGCGACGACGATGTTGCTGAAACTCCCAAGGGCCTGATGCCCTCCCCTTACTTGGCTCTTTTAGGGTTTAAAGAGTCCATGTCATGAATTTTTCTTAGACATACATTTGGAGCATTTTTATAGTTTCTTCAATAAATGAAAAGATTTTGAAATCCTTTTCACTTTTGGGATTAAGTGTGCAGAAAAGCACAATTAAAACTGTGCAAGCTCTTAGGGACAACTGAGGGTGCTGTTGACATGAGGTTAACCATCAGGGAAGATGCTGTTCAGTTTGTATGTTTTTTTGCTCAAACTGAGTACCCAAAAGTTGCTCATTGAACATATTCCTAAGAAAAGAATTTTTGATGACCTTTATATTGCAATTAATGTGCTTTATACACAGAGGAATCAACCCAGAAAAGGAAATTTAGAGCAACAAAATTTCAAAACTCTAGCATTTTTTTTTGCACAAATCGATGTGATATTGTGGTTTTCCCCCTAAATAGTGGTGCCAGGGAATTCCAAATTTGCCACACCATACATGCACACACGTACAAGACCCTTAACATTTGTAATAATGAGGTCTCCCTTTTCTCTACCGCTGCCACATCCTCAACTTGCGATAACATCAAACTACTGCAGTGTTAGTTGGCAAATCAGACAGGTACATTGTGAAACAAGCTAGCAGTCTGCCCAAGCCAGATCATTTGATGTGCTGTTCTTCCACCAGTTTTTTTAATTTGGATGGCCAGGCTGGGCAATTCAAATGTTGCAGGAATGACATGCAGGATGATTGAGGTCGCCATGAATTAACTAACACAAACTGAAACAAATGGCTAAAGAAAAAGCCAGAAACATGCACTTCAAAGAATTCATGCAAGATCAACTCAGGACTCAAATCACAACCTGAAAGCAGTGAAACTTTGTCAAATTTTAGATGACACTAGACGACACGGGTGACAGAGAGATCCTAAAAAGACACAGAGCTGATAGTAAGTGAAACACTTGCTGCAGTCACGTACATGTAGTAGGAATGGACAATGCTACCCCAAAACCAACTGAACCCTACAAACTAATGATACTCTTCAAAATAAATGAAAATCATGCATTCGGCAGTGTTTTGATACTATGCAGGTAAAATAAAATACCAAAATTATTTTGAATTAAAGGTGGTTTTAGGAAGACATAAAGTACCAGGAGTGAAAGGCAAAATGGGATATTAAAAAAATATGGAACCATGACAACTTCTTTTGTTGAATAATGTAAAATGCATGAAACTATCTTGCTCATTTTGGCAGGCAAAAGCCAATTCGTAACCAGTAAGAAATTGGCAGCAAATCCTAAAGAACAAAATTCAGCTGAAGCATATCGGCCGGTGTGCATTGAGCACTACAAGGGGAAAAATTGAAAGTTTTGGCTGGCCTGTCTGGGCATCTGGGGGGTAAAATGTATTAAAACCCTAACCCACTTTAATCCTCCTAAATCCTCTGCGTGGTGTTGGAGGATTTGGGGGGATTCAGGATGAATAATGATTTGAACATTAGAGAATTTTGGATGATTGAGGATGAATGCTGATTTAAAAGCTGGAAGATTTCAGAGGATTAAAGGTGAATAAAGTACTAAAAATCAGTCACATAGTGGTGCATATGGTCACAAATTATATTGTTTACGAAATACATGTACCCAAGGACACTGTGTTCCATTGTTCACTGCTGCTGGTGATAAATCACACAATCCTCAACTGCAGTGTGTTAAAACAAAGGCACATGTCTGTTTTGTTTATTACAAAAGTAAAGCTGTCAACCAACTCTGCAAAAAACCAGCTTTGGTCCAGCAACCAGCATAATGGGTCCAGCCCCCTCAAAAACCCACCAAACTATTAAAACAAAAAACCTTAAGTAGGGCCACAGAAGATTTTGGCAGATTAAGGATGAATGCAGTTTTTGAAGTTGGACAGTTGGAAGATTTTGGAGGATTGAGGACGTGCCCTAATGGGTTAGGGTTGATAAGACATCAGAGAAAACATCCTAGGTTGCAGATTTAGGGTTACAGAAACTATACTGAACCAAAAATAAGTGCAAGTTGAACTTAGCATACATGTTTTTTTTAATTTTCAATGTACACATTATGGATATAATTAGAAGAGTCTTGTATGAATAAATTGGGGAACTCACTCTATCATCAATGAGCTTGTCTCTTTGATCAATGACTCCCCAGGATGCAAAGCCAATGCAGACTACGTTGGAGTGGCCGGCTGCTGTGCCCAGCAGGGCGTAATCTCTGACAGCTTCACCCACATACTTCATCACACCGGCGTGGGTGCCACCTGTGATGATCCAGGCACCTTGAAGAAAGAGGAGAAGCAGGGGTAATGGCATTAATGAGACCCCACTCCCTAATGACCCTTTAAGTCACCAATAAGCCACTTGTGAGTTAAATTTGAATAAAATCTGGTACACTGTGTTATCTGATTGTACACTGTACGTGTTATCTGATCTGAATTTAAAGAACTCAGTGTACCAGATTTTATTCAAATTTAACTCGCAAGTGGCTTATTATGGACAGTATTGTTCAGAGGAATCTTGATTCTGGAGCAAATTTACCGTACTCCCTCTTGAGCTGATTGTTGGAGGGAATAAAATTTGTGTACAAGAGTCTAGTTTGCACTGACAGGTATTCTTTTTTGCCAAAAATACAAGTTTTGAAAAGGCACAAACATCAGCCCACTGGTAAAATACATCCAAACCACAAAGTCCTGACTCTGATGAGTTCTTTTTTTGGGGGGGGGGATCACACAATTTGGTGATGTCCACTTTGGACAATTACAGCCTACATCTAGACATGAATGGGAGTAATAGTAAACACGACACATACAAAAATTAGAGAGGAATTATAAAAACGAATAAACATAGACTTCATGCTGTGTGATATTTGTATGATGTTTCTTACTGCAACCTCTGTTTTTCGAGAAACTGAGGCCGTGAACAGCGGCCAAGATCAATTTCAGCACAAAGTCTCTTTCAAAACTTGCCAGGCTTTGTGTATGTGTACATGTACATACATAAGATATGGGAGATGAGAAAAAACTGTGTATATCATGTACATGTATCTGCCTTAAGAGACTCGAGGCACTCTCAAGAATTTAACCCGACAGCCACCACTTCTAACACAAACTGCTAGATGGATCTACAACTTGTGGGGCCAAAATGTGACAATTTTTCCGTCCCTGTTACCTCTGACATGTATACCATCTGACATGTTTGACAAGGGATGTATCACTGAAATTGATTACAACTATTCTTATTTGTCTGGCAGCTAATTTGCAGTACTAATTCAATCTTGGAATTACACAATGAGTTCTAAACATTTGAAAATCATATGCCAGATGTAACAGGGACAGGAAAAAAATTGGACCCCAAATTTATAGAATGACCCAGGTAATGTTTACATGCCCTCTGGCATGAAGTGGTTATTTAAAGGTATGTGACCACTTTTAAACTATGATGCAGACAAAACCTGTACCATAATTCCAACTGTGAGATCACACACCAGTAGCATGTGCACATCCTGGGAAAACTGCTCAAGGGACATTAACGACATCTGAGGATGAGATACCCAGGCTTAGTGGAGGCCTACCTGTGCTGAGCGCAGCCTTGACCAGGCCCTTCCTGAAGACGTTCTTGAGCTTGTTGCTCATGGGGAAGTTCCTGGCTCCTCCCGTGACCGAGATGAGGAGCTTGGGCGTGCCCAGATGCCAATGGTCATTCAGTAATTCCATCAGCTTGCACGGGTGGATGGAATGGTCCACACGCAGATACTGGAGGACAAAGAGAAGCCAAGTTAGATTTGAATCAACCAATTCTAGTTATTCCGTCCCCTACTGCGCAAAAGGGTGTTATGTATACATATCCAAATCATTACTGAGTAGTCTGGTACTAGAGTAGAACTACTCAGTCAACTACCGCATCTCAACATAATGAGCGAGTAATTACACAGATTAAGAGAGGAAAAGGAACAGGGACGTGTGGAACACTTGCAAAAAGAAACACGGAAAGAGCATGAGTAGCATTTGACTTAGCACACTGTTTCCGCAAGCCATTGGAGTAGAATTCACCACGCTTCCCCATGGCAACCTACGCCAGTCTGAAGGACAAACATCCAAAAAATGTGAAAACCCACTGGTGAGCATTTTTTCACATGTCCTACTGCTTACAGTGTTTTGCAGCAACCTACATTGCAGTGAACCTGGGAACCCGCAAACAATTTAATCATCCAAACAACAAACCTTTCTCAGCTTGACACTGAGGCCTGCCCCGGCTGCCCCGACGAACTCAATTTCCCCGTACGCGTTGGTGGCGCTGGTATGGGTGTGCGTATCCACCTTCCACTTGGCCCGGGGATCGTGGTTCTTCTGGTAGCGGGACTCATGATAGGACCGCCGTTTGCCACACTGGCACTTGGGGTCTTCGGGTCTGTTGACCAAAAGCGAGAGAAAAACAGTATCCACCACAGTGTAAATCACAACGCACAGTTACTCATTAGGATAGAGGATAGGATAGGATAGAGAATGCTCCTCCCATCAGGATTTACTGCATGTATTGTCCATAGTATGGTGAAAATAACAGAGGCAGTGGTGTACAGTCTTGTCAGTGGTCCCCGCGTTATGGTTTGAACTTTAGGTTGGGGACTCAGCCTTGAACCATCCTGCAAGATTCTCAAGGCGGTTTTGGAGGATTTTTGAGGATGTTCCATTTTCAAATGCTTGCTGGACAGCACAGACTGCTTGTTGAAACCCTAATCCCGCCTGCTAGTATGCAGGTACATGTACATCACAGAACTAACTTTTGGCTGTTAACCCTCAAAGAGCTGGACTGTTTTGGCGCCTCTCAGCCCTGGGGGGTGTCAATTCCACTCCCCCAAAGTACCTCGGCTGTGCCAAGTTTTTAAAACTTGGCACGCATATAAAGTCAGTCATTACTGCAAATGTGAAGTTTAAAACAACATGATTATATTAAGGTCATTTGACGTTCAAGGCAACATGCGTGGCAGCCAGCTTGCACAGTTTTGGCTGACCTGTCTCAGAAATATGTGCACTGCGTAAGAATGCAAAATTGTTGTCAAAATAACTGCAAAGAGTCACTCCTAATCTTCTAAAGGCTCAGCTCCTGAAAAAAAAGGCACTGCAAAGATTTTGGTGAAAATATCAAGTGCAGATTCTCGCCCCCTCCATCTCTAACAGAGTTAAAGCACTTGAAACAAAATCCTGCAATTTCCAAAAGCTTCGATTAATTATTCCTTTGGTTAAATAAATCTCCATGTACAAATACCATGATACTCACATGGGATCTGACTGGCCTCTGGCGATGGGTGCTTCCGTGAAGCGGATGCATTCTCTCATCAAAATGTTGGTACGAATCCATGATGAATTGTGCTGTATGTAACAACCACAGTCATGCACTCTTTTAGGAATGAGTCAATTTAAAATTATTGAATATTCAAATATTCATCCAAATTTCATGTGGTCGAATATTCAAACATTTAGTTGTACAAAATTCACACAAACACTGTTACAAAATGTACCTCTGTTAGAAAAAAAAGTACATTGAAAGAAACACCTTAAGCAGTGAAGGAAACTCAGTCATTTTTTACTTTATGGTTGGACACTTGCATTCATCTGCCTTCAGGCTTATTCATATTAACCTGAGGACGTGCTTTTCAAATACAGTTTTGGCATCTAATTGAGTTTTTCCATTTTTCACTGATTTTTACCTTTGAATATTCAAAAATAAAAACATCTGAAATCTTGACAAAGTATCAGAGATGTGAATGTTTGAATAAATGGCACGGCCAATTTTGCCCATAATTTGATAAAAAACACTCAACCCACAGAAACACAGGAACAACTGAATGATCCCTGAAAGGCTAATTTTGCCAACCTAATCCACCTTCAGATTTTTTTCCAGCACAAAGAGCATCGGAGGCCAGCAGACTGTCGATCTGGCAGTTTCCAACAAAAATCTAACTACATGTAGCTAAGACACATGCCATTGGAGCTTTTCTAGCAACTTAACAGGTGGGTTTCACTTACCGGTTCGGCTACCTGTAGGTTGATTGAACTACCAGCAGACCCTCTGCGTTTTCTCTGTTTCCTGCTGACGTTGACAACTTTCTCCTTTTTGACTAACAAGTTTGGCCCCACCTTGTTCTGGTGGGCCTTCAGATTAGCCACGCTTGTATGAGCAGACGCAGACATTTTCTCACCCCCTGCCTGTAACTGTGTCATTCAGATCGCCTTTTTCTGCGAACCAGATATATGACACTGATTCGTTAATTAACAACTCACTTCAAGGCTTTGACAATAGTTTCGTCTATGTCCTGATTAATAATACCAGGCTTCATATTTTCAATTTATAGAACTCATGTCAAAATAACATTACAACTTTCTCCATTTAGGGAAATGCAAGTGTGTAGGCCTACTCTGAAGCCCCCTTTAGTGCAGGAATTTTGAATTCATGTGTATACACTGTTGATACACCCTAACATGGTGTGACCCCCCTATGTGGCACATTTTTTAATTTTTTCGCCTCTAGTGCCTTGCCGAAGCAACATTTTTGCCTGAAATTTCATGTAGGCCTACATGTAAGTGAAGTTTCATAAGAATCCCAATATTCTGATTCAAACATCTCAATTTCACTTCGAAATTCTCATGAAATTTTATTTAGGTATAATTTTCTGATTTTATTCTGAAGTAATGAACTCTTTAAATAGGCCTATGAGCCAAAATATGAAAATAGGCATAATCTTCCAATAAACTTTTGCCGACGTACATGTATGTCAGCAGAGGTATCTACATGCAGTACATGTAATTGAGCAACTTCAAAGAATTTCTCATTCTCAATAGTTTACATGGGATTTTCTGAGTTTTTAAATGCCAAGTTAAGGAACAATTATCAGCTGAATTCTTGCCCAATCTGGACACTGCCACTTTTTGAAAGTCAAACCACTGCTCCAACTTGGGGACTCTAATGGTTCGGACTATAACAATTAACATGGTAAAATGTGACCCTGCCCTTAACTTGCTGTGCCTCTATATATAACATTAGCAGACCATTCTGTACATCTGCCAGAGATCAATTCTAAATTTTACTGTATCTCAGGAATGTGCGACAGAGGTCAACAAGAGACTACCACTAAAATCACACATAAACCCAAGGACCGTTTTTGTTGAGTCAGTCACAATTTCACAAATGGGCACTAAAGTTTAGGTCAGGAAGAGTTTCAAATACATGAACGTAGCCCCAGGTACATCACAACTGTTTTTTCCATTAAAATGATGTTCATGGTCATGATGGTCGCCATGATGGTGTTCAGGTATTACGAACTCATGGTCCTCAAGAGTAGGCTTGCTTTAAAAAAGGTACATGGACATGAAGGTGGAGATTGCTCTTTATGATTCCGTTTTCAGGAAGCAGCATTTTAGGCCTACAGTGTTGGAAATTGTTAGACTACACCGCAGTCATACGACACGAGTTGCAAGCCAACAGGACATGATGCATGATCACGATGTAGGCCTACATAGGCCTAGTACTAGTAGCAGCTTTGTAAATAGGCCTAGGCCAAGGCATTCTCGAATTCCAACCATTCACCATGTTGTAAAGGACTCTCACCTTTTTACCAAAACTACATATCACTGTTTTCCCCAGTGCCAGAAAAACCGACACGACGCCACAACCGTCATGCATGGATCATGGATGTACCATTGGAAAACAGATAGTGAAAGCATTATAATACTGCCATATCGATCCACAGCGACGTCATCCAATATTAACCCTGTTCACCCACTGGTACGAAACCACGTATTGCTGGACGCACTGATGCATGCTGGGAACTGCCGTATCTGCGACTGCGGTAGCGTTGCCATGGCGAGCACCACAGCTTTCACGTACATGTACAGTACAGACCGGGGACTGTTGCTCGAGCTGGTGGTGGGGTAGTGTCATATCATAGAGTGTGTGCTGAACCCGTAAAAAGTACGGAGCCCGTAAAGGGACGAGGAGTTTTTTTTATGGGGGCTCTACTTTTGCCACGTACAGAAGCGTATAAGGGCCAGTTGCAAAATTTTTTTTCGAGCGACGACTTGCTATCTCGCCGTGGCGAGTTAGTATCTGGCGTCGCGTTGAGTTAGCTAAAACTAGCTCAACTCGCTACGTATTAAGACTCAGGCTGGATACCAGACCCATTGATTCTGAGTACTCTTCTAATCAAGGCTCCTATATCATATCAACCAATGTCCACCCGACCAACACTGTACTCCTCCAGATTTCCGGGAAAAGTTGAACTATTCCGAACTTATCCTGACCATATTAAATTCAGTTTAACATCACCATGTTTTCTTTAATGCTCCTCAAAATTTAAAAAAAATGATGCAAAGATCAAAGTGAATAAAATTAGTAAACGTGGTAAAGGGAGAAGAAAAAGACCATTCGGGAGTATTTTGTTTGGGCATTTCCAGCCGCGTTTGTACCAAGAATTTTGTGAACTGTCCGAGTTATATCGGTCGGATTACTCCCCGATTACAAAATAGAACTAGGGTTGAAAAGATTGGAACATATTTTGATAAATGGAAAGCATTTTCTTTATTTGAACGTGTTTTAAAGCGAATGTCATTTTCAAAAGATTCTTATTTTAGAAAGTTGGAATAGATTTTCAAAAGCAAAACGAAATTTTAAGGATCTAATACATTTTTTTTAGATTCGAATGAAGTTTTAAAGAGTGGATTAATTTTCATTGACGCAGCGTATTTTCTAGATTCCCAGGAATTTTCGAAGAACGTAACTTTTACAAATCCGAATTTTTCAAAGATTGGAACGAATTTTAAAGTTCAAACTTTTTCCGATTGAAATAAAATATTTTGTACAGAATAGATTAAACCTAGTTTAGAAATGGGAACACTTTTTCAGCGTAAAGCAGCTATTCGGTGCTCGCATTTTACGCAAATCGCAAATCGTATGCCATCTTAAATGAGAAAGCATCAAAATAACAACAAACCCAAATTGATAAGCAACCACGAATAAAACGCAACCGGGTAACACTTTTTAAAAACAGTATTGGAAATATATGCTTCACTTTTTCAAAATATAGCCTATACTTGAAGCACTATGAGGCTTTCGCAGAATATCGTCCAACAGATCGACTACTTTTATACGCGGCTTTGGATGCGTTCTCAATTCGGATGCTTTCTCAGATCAGATGATTTCTGAGTTCAGATGATTTCTTTAACAACATCATGTTCCAATTTTTGATCCTAATTCTACTTTGAAGCGGATGGTATACTCCGACCGGTATACCACGGACAGTTCACAAAATTCTTGGTACAGACGCGGTCGGAAATGCCCGAATTACCGATACCATCTGAATGGTCTTTTTCTTCTTCCTTTACCATGTTTACTCATTTGACTACCAATTTTATTCATTTTAATATTTATAACAATTTTAAGGAGCATTACAGAAAAAGTGTTGACGTTAAACTGAACTTAATATGGACAGGATAAGTTTGGAATAGTTCGACTATTTTCGGAAATCTGGAGGAGTGTTGGTCACGTGGACATTGGGTAAACAGGACATTTTGATTACAAGAGTAGTCGGAATCATTGAGTCTGGTATCCACACTGAGTCTCAAGATTTTAGCTAAGTTTTAGCTAGGTCGCCGCGGCGAGATAATAACTCGCCGCGGCGAGATAAATAAAGAGATAGTAACTGGCCGCGGCGAGATAGTAAATTGCCAAGGCATAGTATCTCGAAAAAATATTTTTTGCAAGTGGCCCTCATACGCTTCGGTAGCCACGCGCCCGCGGATTTTGCTCCGCGGATCTCGCCCTGCGGATCATCATATCGCCCCGCGGATCTCGTGTGTATAGGAAAGGGGCGTGATCATACCAGTCACTGTCGTCTCGAATTTTGTGTTTCCGGACTGTTTCCCAAGGTGAGAACAATCCGTAGTTGGTGGCAGTTGATTCCCCCCCCCCCCTGGATACGCTACTGGTTTAATCCTACGGTGAATGTCAGCAATGCACGCTGAATGTGGATATCATTTGAATGGATGTTTCTCCTATAAATGAAAGCGTATTGTGTTCAATTCGAAAGACGTAACTTTGCACGGAAAGCACCTGGATAATCTAAACGACTCAAGAAGTCATTCAATCGTTAGCAATTGCAAGGTAGTACGTAAAGGGATGCATGCAAAGAATCCTTGGTAGAGCAACAAGTGGCAAATATAGAGAGTGGCAGAAGAAAGACATGTACACTATTTGTACTGACGATACTTATGTTTATTTGAGAGTGGACATAAGGTCCTACTCAGCCAAAGACGTATCTCGCGATATGTCAGACGTTGTGAGCTACTGGCGCGGAACTTGGAGGAGATATGTCTTAGGCTGAGTAGGACCTTATGTCCACCCACTCTCAAAGACGTAATAATAAACAAAGACACGTACCCTATTTGTACTGCTCTTGCAACCCTCCAATTTGAGACAAGCTGTGTGAAAAAAAGTGTTTTTATGTGATTTGTATTATTTTACGATTTAAATTAAATGTTAACATTCCAATTTCAAAAGATGACTCCAAGTACATGTATATAATTATCACCAATTCCACCATCATACTTCAGGAGTTAGTTTTGGTGTAAATAACTCATGGTTTTCGGTTTGTCATTATCACTCGGACTGGCATTCCAAGTACCAGTAATACACAGTAATCACAAAAATATCCTGCCTTGATCTTCATATTTACACTCACTTGACAACCTGGCATAAACAATAGTGTGATGATACAATGGGATTATTCAAATCAAGCTTAGACAATAACCGGAAATACTTATGTCATTCAGAATATTAATAGTGAAGGAACAAAACACTGATTGTGCCCAATAAGCTACGTGACCGATAGTGGGTATCAAACGTCAACAAACATGGCGTCCTGTCACAGCAAAGTGTGTCATAATTGTCATTTACCAAAAGTTGACAGTCGGAACAGTACTCAGACTGCTGAATGTTCTTAGTACTGCACCGAAAATTTGCTTTATTTTTGTAAGCAACACTTTAAACACTTTGCTATGGGAGTGCGCCCTGTTAATTGATGTTTTACCTACAAGAGGTCACGTACCTTAGCGGGCGCAATCGTTAATTGGTCAATTAATGTTATGCGTTCTCATATAAGCCACATGTCGCATCTAAGCACTTAAAATTTTAAAAAGACAATAAAGCAAAGTTTTCCTTTTGGAATTAATAAGTCTTCTTTGCATGCAAAATGATTCTGACATGTCTCCTTGATTTCTCTTGTTGTGTTTTAAAAATAGTTAGTGTCACTTTAGCATGACTTTTGATCACGGTGACTTATAAAACTAATGGTCATGTGCGCCCTGCTCCCTGGACGTGACGTCATTTCCATGCATCCTGCTTTGTGTCACTGGGGTCATGCTGTTTTACCGGACGCGAATTCGGTTTTGTTTTTGTTTTGCAGAATACGCTGGAGAAACTCGACTTGAATAGGCCTAAATGCTAAAATTGTGACTACTGAGGATTGTTTTTAAAAGGAAGTCCGAAATTTCAACAGGGAAATTGTGGCCTTACAAAATAAAAAAAGTTATCACGTCACCCGTTCGTGACAAGTCATGAAACGACGGACAATCAGGAGCAGGTCTGACGTTATGATTCTTTTTTTTTTGAATGGAATCAGAGCAGTTCCATTGTTCTAATTCCACGAACAGTCGGTTATAAGGCCCCTCGATGATACATCATTATAGAATGAATGAAGTCATAAGTTTTGGAGTCACGCGATCACATCTGATCGACTGACAAGCACCCGTACCTGAGGGAATAAGGCCCCTACTGGCCCCCTGCACTGTATGATACCAATATGAAACGAAATGAAGGGGACTGTGCCTCAGCATAGATTATTTCACTTTTCTAATTCTAGCTTTTATATGCATTTGTATTAATGACGTAGCTAATCTCCTGTGAGGCAGGGTACATATTCCCGGGTACGTTAATAACTGTTCCAAGGAAGGACTGCACTCGGTAATTATCAGCCGTACGAAAACAAGTCCTGGGGGCAATTCCGCGGTAACGGAATTACATTACAGAACAAAATTGACTGTTATTTTCCATGCTATGAATTGGTCCTTTGAACTACCTGACTACAATATCTTTAATAAGGTCTGGCTGTAGCCCTACCATCATACCAGTAATAAAAGATTGAAACATACTACTTGTAGAAAGATCCAAGGACCAGAATATTTCGGTAACGGAATTAGGCCTACGTCAGAAAATGAAGAACTTTTTCAAACATAATTTGAAAAGGAAATTCTCTGAAATCTATAACATGAAAACCACAGCTACACATTTATCTGTTTTCCCTATGGTTTCAACTTTATTGTAGCAGCAGTTTTAGAGTATTGATATTTACAAATATTCCATACACTGTCATTTTTCAGAAAGAGGCAGTGATAACGGAATAACAAAAATGGTAACGGAATAAGCCTACACTTGTGAAATGTACCTTGAAAAATGCCAATTCTTGAAAAGCAGTTGTTTTTTCTTACTCCAGGCATGTTTTCAGCTTTAATCATATAAAATAGACCATAATTCAATGCATCTGTATGCCTCACTGAAAGATAATTCAATTTTTGTACCTAGCAACAAGAATTTACTGGAAAAGAACATGAAATTTCTAAATTGTGAACTTCGAGTTGTGATCAGAAACAAGGCAGTTGCTTCAAGAATATTTCTTGGCTTCAAACTTTTTAATCCCGCTTCAGTTTGCGACCTAACACTTGCT